AAAAAAAAAAAAAAAAAGATGACGAAGGAGGAAGAGGAGGAGGAGAAAGGAGGAGGAACTTCACCTGACACGTGACGTGGCACTTCGACTGATAAAGGAAACTAACGAAGAGGAGGAGGAGGAGGAGGAGGAGAAGGATCTGGCGGTTTCTTGATACGTCGACAAAAAAAAAAAAAGGATGACGAAGGAGGAGGAGAGAGAGAGAGAGAGAGAGAGAGAGAGAGAGAGAGAGGACGCGTGGCTCAAGGCAACGGTGCCGATTCGACGACGACGAGCAGCGAGGACGAGCTGCCCGACGGGCAGCGACGACGGGCAGCGGCGGCGGCAGTGACGAGGGCACCTCGGCGATGGCGGGCAGCAACGGCCGTCGACGGGGAGGGCAGCGACGGGCGGGGCGGGAGTACAACCTCGGCAGCGACGGGCGGGAGCACTACCTCACCAGCAACGGGCGGGAGTACCTCGGCAGCGACGGGCGGGAGTACCTCGGCAGCGACGGGCGGGAGTGCTACAGTGCTACCTCGGCAGCGACGAGATGCTCCGAATTCGAAGCGCCCGCGGGAAAAATTTTGCGCGGGGGGGCGGGGAGGCTCCCAAGGCCCAGAACTGTCGAAACTGGCCTCCCCCCCCCCCCCCCCCACACACACACACACACACCCCCCCACACCCACACACACACACACACACACACACCCCCCCCCCCCGCGCGCAAACATGTGCTGGGCCCGCCCGGCATACAACCAGGGGACCCAACCGGCCGGGCCGCCCGGGACCCCTGCCGGACGCAGGCTGGGCCGCCGGGCGGCCCGGAATTTAACGCAGTTTTCTTGTGAAAAAAAAGAACGAAATTTGCAGACCTACGCAGTGAAAGTGTAGAGGGACATTTCGGAAAAAAATCGCGAAATTGTCAAAATGCAGACATTTAACAATTAAACAAGGTAAAAAAAATTCCTAGAAAAAAGAATTCTCAGAACGAAAGAAAAAAAATTCTCGGAAAATAGATTTCTCGGAAAAGAAAAAAAAAAAATTCTCACAATTTTTTTCTCGGAAAAAGAAACAATTTCTCGAAAAGAAAAATAAATAAATAAATAATTCCTGATCGACTGCAACAGATGATTGTTGGTTGATTGATCGATTGTTTGATCGATCTCCTGATCGACTGATCAATCAATCGAAGATTGATTGGTGGCAATCTGCCAATCCAATCAATCAATCTATGTTGCCAAGATTCACTGCAACAGCTCCGATACCACTTGTAGCATATGAGGGAGTGAAATGCACCGAGAGCCTAAGATCTAGCAATGATGAAAATGACAACAACTGGCAGCATAGATGCAACATTCACAAGATGTCAATGTGCACAATGCAAGGAATAAACCAACGAGAAATCAACAACAACACATTTGTATCATCATCATGGGCTGGGAAACAGCACAGCGGAAGTCTTAGTAACCAAAGGACACGAGGACAKACAACATGAAAGAGGGAAACTTCGGAAGGGCAGGACATCAAAAAGATTGCCCTTCCGCTCACACACATGGGGAGAGATCCATAGACATGCGGGAGAGAAAGGGGAGAGACATAGGAGATAACCAAGTCCAACCCAAGTCTGATCTCCGAATGTCGTACACAGTTCAATCCCAGTGTAGAGTGTAAGTCCGATCTGAATGTCACGTCCAATAAGGCAAAATGCCGTGTCCAAACAATGTCTGCAGTTACCTCTATCCCTACTCTGATAAAGAAGAAGAAGAAGAAGAAGAAGAAGAAGAAGAACTTCGGAGTAGGAGGAGAAGAGGAGAGGAGGAGGAGAAGAAGAAGAAGAAGAAGAAGAAGGAGAGGAGAAGAAGAAGAAAGCTAGCCGCTTTCTACACTTACCGGGGGGACTGCACGAGAGCCCATCTATGGCGTTGGTAGGTCGCAACAGGTAAGCTCCTCTTCCATCTCTCTCTCTCTCTCTCTCTCTCTCTCTCTCTGAACTCCACTACTCTCCTCGGCGCTGGACTCCTCCAGCGCTGCGCCTCATTGCAGATGAACAGCGCAGCTGCAGTCTCAAAATAGCGCAGCACGTAGTTTCCACATAGCGCAGCAGGCGAAGTCCTGAACCAGCGTAACACTGGATTTCTCCTGGTACCTTCCTTTCGAACTGGGCAATGGCCCAGCTTAAGTAGCGCTGGGCCAGGACTRAAASCCCACGGCCTTCGACCTGGACCGTTCAGATCCACGGTTCAGATCGCAGGCCCAACGTGTGGTTCAGCCCTTGGCCTAAAACGGCCTGCCTGGGTCCCTACCGGACATCCAGGCCCTGTCCAGGATTC